AGAATACAATTCAACTTCGACACTCTTTTCTTGGAGATATTCGAGAAATTTCTCAAATTCTATTTTCTTCTAAAATCTTTGAATGTTAAAAATAAAGCAAAAATTTTAAGAATGTAAACACAAATCCATTCGGAGGGAAAATTTTTATGGCATTAAACGGAAGATTTTGTCAACTCGAAATGTAACATTGATGCATAATTAAATCTTCTGGTTACATTTGTAAGGGATCTTTTGCTTTTTCGATTTGCATAGTTGCAAATTATGCTTCCAAATAATTTGTCACTCTCTGAGTTGTTTGCATGAGTGATTGTGCTGCAGAAATTGCAATGCAATAAGAGATGAATCATGCAATATTTTTCGATAAGAAATATTTTACAAATGTTTGTCGTACTTTTGAGTAGCATTTGGAAACTTTGAAATATTTCAAAAAAAAGTCTTCAATTTAGATTGATAAGTCATCCTGCAAAGTTGGCATGCAACTGAAATGCAACTTAAGTTTTCCAAGCATAAATCTTAGCAGCCCACACACACACACATTATACATATACAGAGATAGTGTTGTTGCACAATAACCAGGCAGTGTAATATACCAATGTGAAAGCGTTGCATAGCGGCACTAAGATCCTGTGTATCCATACAGTGGCAAGTAGCGATGTGGGTGGCAGCGTTAGAAAGGGGAGGGGCAGGTTTTGGGTAACTTTCGATACCCACGCGTAACTTTGGGTATCTGCTGGAAGGATCGTTGTTAGTTAGTTTTGAGGATTGAAGGAGTTCTGCTTAGTACTCACTGAATGATATTGAATACCAGCGGAACGGTCACTACTGGGTAACATCCATCGGGTAGCGTTTCATAAGTTTATGAAAAAAATGTCCTAGATTCACTGTAAAATATCTGAAGCTATACATCGCAATGCTAAGGAACGTATGGCTGAGGCTGTATTCTCAGAAAGTCATAAATATCGAACTGGCACAGGGTCAGATGAAGTCAATGGTAGTGGGTCATATCTGGAGTTGCTTGTTTTGGACGCAGATAGGTGCACTTGTTTTCTGAGCATTAAGTTTCTAGCGGTGACGCTTTAAGCATTTTGTTCGAAAACTATTAATAATAAATTATAACCGTATGACAACTGGAGTGAAGTAGATTTCTGATAAGTGGATTGTGATGAATGAGCGTATATATTGCGAAAGTTCATCGTTTTTTGTTCATTTGTATCACTTGGACAGATACAGGCGAATTGTTGGATGGAAAAATATATGAGTAGATTATACTATCAACTTTAGCAGTTGTATGTTCGCCGCTAATAAAGGAAATTCCAGATGGCAGCAACAACCCAAAATGGTACTATCGATGGTAGTGATTACAAGAGGCCGGCTTACAATGAAATGACTAGCAAAGATTACTACTTCGACTCATATGCCCATTTTGGGATACATGAAGTTTGTGGTTCAGGCGTTTTAGAATTACAGATAGAAAAAGTTTATGAATCACCACTCGTAGACTTCTTTATAGCTCATTTCCGTAGAGGCTGGAATTATAACATTCTCCGTACAGGGGATATTATAATTCAAGATGCTTGGTTAGTAATGAATGTCTCTGTTCCATACATTTGCGCATTTACGTTGGTAAATTCCTTTTATACAGGAAATGCTGAAAGATGAAGTGAGAACGATTACATATCGGAATGCCATTTATCATAATAAGCATTTGTTCAAAGACAAGGTTGTCATGGATGTCGGATCAGGAACGGGTATCTTATCCATGTTTGCAGCTAGAGCTGGTGCCAGGAAAGTTATTGCGGTAAGCTTCTTCGATTATTAAAACAGTTTTGTTGACTTACCTCAAGATTGTAAAATCTCTTGTGAAGTAATTCTAATGAAACAGGTCTTTAGCAAGAATATTAGGAGGGATAGGTGGGAATTTCTCGAATGTATTTTGCTTTTTAAACAGAAGTATTGTAGTTTTGCTTCTTGAACTATATTAATCTGTATAAAGCATGGAATTGCCTTCTTTTTTCTTCTAGCAAGCATTATATCTGAGAAATAGTGTTCTTGAAGAATGAGGCAATAAAATATGGCTGAATATTAATTGGAACCTTAGGTAAATTCATTGATCAAATGATTTATTAAATGATTACCAAATTTCGTGTTGTACATTTTGTAGATTGAATTCTCGAATATGGCTACACAATCCAAACAGATTGTAAAAGATAATAATTTGGAAAATGTTATTGAAGTTATTCACGGGAAAGTTGAAGATGTAAAAGAATTACCTGACGGCATTGAAAAGGTTTCTGTTTACTTGAATAATAAAATGTTTGTCCATTTTTTCCTGTGTTGTATCTTCAAGGATTCAGTGATACACATGTTGCACAGTTCAAATGAGAAGTGTCAAAAGAGTACTTTGAATGAAGGATGTACATACACATTTTCTGCAACATCGTTATTTACTCATCTTTACAGGTTGATGTTATCATTTCCGAATGGATGGGTTATTGTTTGTTCTACGAATCGATGCTGAATACAGTGATTTATGCTCGCGATAAATGGTTGAAATCGGATGGTGCCCTATTTCCAGACAAAGCGAAGCTCTTCTTATGTGCTATTGAGGATCGGCAATATAAAGAGGATAAGATTAATTGGTGCGTAAACATTCAGTAGCTTATTACATTTAATAGTTGTATGGAGCAGTAATTGATTTATCAAATCAAGCTCAGTTTTTATTGTTGTTATCTAAGTAAATATTGGAATGGAATGGGTCGTTTTTTTTTTTAGGTTGGGATAATGTTTATGGCTTTAATATGTCAAGTATTCGTCGTGTAGCCATCACAGAGCCATTAGTTGATGTTGTTGATCACGCGCAGGTTGTTACCAACAACTGTATGATTTGCGTAAGTTCTTTCCTCTTTTATCTATACATATTGGCTTCAAGTCCTCAAAGAACGTAGATTTTATATGGGTTAGCAACATCATTTCCTCTGCATACAATAAAATTTTTCAGTAACTTATGACTAACAATTCTCGAGGATTTATCACTCCCAAGTTTTTATCCATATATTCTGAAGCATTAGTATTCAGTATTGCGGTAATGGAAGAGGGTCATTTCTACTGATTGTTTTTCTGTACAGAAACTAATAATATAATGATAGCTACTAAATTAGTGTAGCGGAAAAATTTAGTGTTATTTATCTGGAGTTTCTTCGGAAATAATTTCCGAAGAAATAACATTGCAGTCGTGGTTGCATTGAAAATATGTTTTATATTAGTCATTAATCATCTTGGTGATGGTTTTTCAATTATATAAAGTAAGTTTTATAAGCATTCATGGATGAGTATTTGACAGTGTTGATAAGTAATCTGAAAGTTTTTTAGGATGTTGATTTGTACACTGTTAAAGTGGAAGATCTGACATGGACAAATAATTTCTCACTCCGAATAACAAGAAATGATTATGTGCAGGCACTGGTTACATTCTTCACAGTTGAATTTTCTAAATGCCATAAGCGGACTGGTTTTTCAACCGGGCCCGACTGTCAGTATACCCACTGGAAACAAACAGTATTTTATCTGCAGGTAAAATATAATCAATTTCCCACCTCTCTTCACCCAGTTAATCTCAATATCGACTTAATTTGATTCCAATTTTCCAGTTTATGTCTGTAATCCACTATCAATGGATAGTGGGAAGTCACAATTCACCTTTTTACTCGTGGTGCGAAGATGTTGCTGTGATTTTCAGGATGCGCTAACCTGTAAGAAGAATGAAGAAATTACTGGGACATTTTCAATAGCACCGAATGCTCGAAATGAAAGAGATTTAGATTTCAAAATCTCTGTCAAGTTTCATGGTGATGTATGCGACGTGGAAGAGGAAAATACCTACACGATGCACTGATCCAATTGCTTTAAAAAATTTCACTTTTACAGTGGCTGTTCTCAACTTTTTCATAAGTTTCGATTTTGTTGGAATGTTGAAAGAAATGTCTCATTTTTTCCCAAGTTTCGTTTCTTTTTTCTGTCTTCAAGATTCGGATTTCCGGTGTTGCATTCGAGGACTTCCTCAACAAACTGCAGTTTTTCTAATAATCTGGGAAGGTTTTGAAATTTCAGCAGCTCCTATTTTGTGATGCGGCATTGTCCGTTATCACAGTTAAAGACTTTATACTATTTACGAGATAGCCCAAAACTTGTGGACTTGTTTTCGTTTTTATTTTCTCTATATCTGAATTGTTTGTTTTACACTTCTCATCTTAAGTTACATAATTTTACGTGCGTTATGCAAATGAAAAGTGTGATCCGATGTTTTTGATTGCATTTTTCGAATCATTTTGTCGGTTTCTAGTGGCTGCCGACGGTTTCCATATTTCATACAGTGTTCTATGGTCAGCTGGTTTTTCTTTGTTGCAGATGAATGCCATCAAAATTAAGGGTAAGAAAAATAGAGGAAAGTGAGGAAGACAGTGGAATCAGATATGTAGTGGGGTTTAAGACTTCGAATTTATTGCTAAATACATCAGCAGGTCGATGGGGTCAGCGATGCATTCTGCTAATAGCACAATTTCGTTGAGTGGAAAAGAATAGGGTGAGAATGCTTAGTTTGAAGGTGCTAAATTTTCTTTTCTGATCGACAGAAGGGTTGCTAGGGAAAATTTTTTGCTTTAAAAATGTTAGCACAGTTGTTTTCTCATAGCATTCGGGCCTTTTTTTATTGCATCGGGTGGTCGTTTAGTTATAATCATGTCGGATATTCATGGGTTTGCACTTGAGATTGTTTACTTTTTTCCTACAAGTATGTTGTCTTGTGTAAAAAAAGGGTATTTCGGCAACGTTTTGTTTAAAGTTATTTCTTTCATCATTAGTAAATAAGTGGATTGTCGTCAAAGTTGCGATGTCAGTCAGGGCTAAATTATGAATATGTCTTTGAAATTTAAGGAGAGTGTATTTAAAATTAATGCCTGTTATGCCTGAAGCAAGTTCCTTACAAGGTCAGTAAGGTTTCTTACAACGTTATCCAATTTGCACTTTACAACAGAATAAATTTTCAGTATAGCTATCGGTACGTTTCTGATCACAGAGAATATCGGACTAATAAAAGCACAGCTTAGGTTGTGATATTACGATGGTTTTTTAAGGGATGATCAAGATACAAAAAAAAGTGAAATAAACAAAAATTCCGACAAGAGTCTCACATCGACTTCCGCATCCATTCCCGGTGCAACAAAATTAGCCGTGAATGTTACCAAATCCTCAACAGTTAAAAATCGCCATAACCGGGATTTCTCGAAGAATGTTGCACCAACTTCGAAAAGATTGGCTCCAACGAAAGATTACAAAGTAATCCGTAAAGTGGAGGAGAAAGTCGTACAGGAGAGAAGTATACGAACTGGAAGCCCCAGACGCCGAAAGTAGGTTTTTGTCTTTTTACAAATTCATAACTAGAGATTACAAAAAAAAAAAAAAAGTGAGGAGGTAAGTTTTCTAAACTCGAGGGAAAATATTTCAAAGATGGATGAGATAAAAGTTTTAGGGCAACATTGTTACACTTTGTTCCAACAAACGAGCTACCGGATGTTGCGCGCGTACAACTTTTGCTCAGCAACATTAGTGAGCGACCATTGCAGTTCAAACTGAAAAGCGAACCTGGACCAAATATCTCTGTACTATTTATCTATGCAGAAATTATGGAAATAGAGCTTTAACTTAAGAATTTTGAAGTACATTGGTTCTCATTTCACTGTTTTATCCAAGAATATGACATATGAGAGGGAATATGATATATGCTCATGTAAAATTTACGAATAATTTGGAATGACTTTTATCCACCAGTTCATCCTTACACTTTTAGGCACTTCCAAGCGCACGAGGTCATATTAGTGCGCATGGTTCAGCGAAGTGTACCTTAACATGGCGCCGTGAAGCAAATGTCGAAAAATGGTCTGATGCACAACGGCCAAAAATGCTTCTTGTTCTAGATTTTCTTCGTGATAAACTGGAAAATGAAAAACGCACTCTAACAAGGCTTATCGGTAATGTTTCAATTCTCCAGGCAGCTTAATATGTTTTGGGATCTCGTTATTTTTGATATCCTTTTTCCAGGTAAGGTCGTATCAGGTCAAACTTGTGATGCAGATAAACCACCCGTCGAGCAGCTGATGCTGGATGCAGCTACTAACGAATATTCTCGATCGTTGTCAAAGTTTTTCTTTATATTATTGATAAGAGTCTAAGGGGATGGAGCGTCATGCAGTTCAGAGCAAGATTATTCTACTAAATCCCACCTATGTTTTTTTTTTTTTTTTGGCGAGCAAGATTTGTTAACTAAGAGTAGTGACTACAAATGGTTTTCCTAGTTATGTTTGCTTTCATGAAATCAAATTCTTAGTAATAATGTATATTCAGTAAATCAAGCAAAACATTTGTAATTCCTTTTATTTCTTTTTAAACACACTGCATAATTTCAGGGAGCCCTTGGTAATGGAACAAACACATACTTCTAAAAATGAGTTGGAAGAAAAAAATAAGACGAAGTCTGCAGGTATAGTGAATAGTATTGCAGATTGGTTCAATCAACAATCAAAAGATTCTCTATTTGGATTGCTTCTGTTGATGATATTCTGCTATTTTCTAGGAACAATAAATAGTTCAAAACAAAAAGTGCATGACGAATAGTCGGTCTTTGATCATATATAGGCTGTAATTTTCAGTTGGTTTTTATTCCCACTAATCTAAAGTTTATCGGAAGAGTTTAGAATCTCTACGCTTCTAGCATTTATCGAACCTTTGATCCCTTATTTCTAGATTGTTATCCTATAATTTTGCTAGTTCAGCTGTGTTATATATGAAGCACTAATTGAAGTGAAATAAAGAATATCTAAAAGCATTATTATTTCTCATGAAAGTGAAAATGGGATTATCCAGGACCATCAATATTTTATATTATATTCAGGTGTAACCTGTAAAGTGTTGTAACTTATTTCATATTTCATTAATTCTGATTAATAGCTTTTTGCTGTGTTCAAGTTAGTGCTTCGTCCAATGTTAAATAAACAATTTTAGGAGTTGTAAACCGACTCTCAGTAGGTGCAATTCCCAAAATTGTTCGAACATAACATAATATTTACTATTTTATAATTGCAGTAGTAGAAATTGTATTCTATTCTAACAAAAAATTCTAACAAAGTTTGTTCACTTCATGTAATATGGGAAATAGCTTGAAGTTACTGGTAAGTGATGGATATGAAGCATTCAATTTTTAGGTGTATTATTCTGAAATAATGCGAAATCATCTTTGACTTATTTCTTTTTTATAGTTGATTAATTGTCGTAAGCTCGTCATTGCATTAACATTTTTTACGTTTGACAGTCAACTACGTGGTAATTGTTTAAATCCAATATCAAAGATTGGTAGTTTTCTTTAGCAAACTCATAGAATCTTCAAACTTATTCCATTTTTTTGAGACAATTTGACAGTTAGTACTAAAAATTAACCTGGCTTATGACTTTTTTTTTCACTTCACATCGGTACTCTCTCTCTTGGTTATGCACTTAACAATACATTTGGAGAATGCGGAGGAGGATTTGGTTCATTCATCTAGCAAGCAATACCCAATCTGACATGTCTCTCAATTTTCAGGTCTTTTTAATTTTCACGTTATGATATGGAGAAGGGGATTGAAATATGTCCTCATTCTAGTAGTAACAGTAATTCCGTGGAAGTACTGGATGAAGCCATCTTAACACTGAAACGCTGCTTAACTCTAACAAACGAAGCTAGTTTTGGTAAATGTATCAAAGGAAATGACGAAGTAAAGAAAGAGCAAATTAAGGTGGAAGAGGCGAGTTATAATTTTAGGTATTTTACGAAAGCTTGTGAAATTTAATACACATTTTAGTGCATTATTGGACTTTTCTATGTCTATGGATCTCTGTTAATAACTTCAAAACATAGATCGTAATAGCGCATTCCTGTTCTTTGACTTTTTTTTTTTTGAATATATCATTTTTTGCCTGCTGGCTTTGTATTGTAACATTCCCCGTGCGTTATGGAACAGGTTGATGAAACGAACAATGAGACATACGATGAGACAAACAACCAAGTGACACAATGTACACCGAATGGTTTAGTTGCGGAAGCGGAAAGTCAAACAATAGTATCCAGTATAAAAATAAGACGTATTCATATAGTTGAATACGAGAATGAGTATCAAATGGCTGATATTATGCGACTTATTACGAATGTACTTAGCGAGCCTTATTCTATCTATACTTATCGTTATTTCATACATAATTGGCCAAAGTTATGCTTACTGGTAAGTCTTTTGAAAAACATTATCCGGAGAGAAATGAATTTATAGGATATGCATTTACTGATGTTTATCACTAGATCTCGAAGTTATTTACTAAGATGTATACTTTTGTCCAAAAGTAGTACAGCATTAAATTGTAAATTTGCAGTTCTGTCAGCACAATGACTTTCTGTCATCTCTTCACTATGTCTTTCATTTTACCTATGATTAACATCTTACAGTTGTTGGGCGTTTTTGGGATCGGTTAACATGGCATAACACTTTTCTTTATAACTTGATTTTCTTAGATTACACGCACCCTTTATGCTTCCTTTAATTTTCTTCTTTAGTTCTACATTATTTTCTTTAATTTTACAAGCTATTCTTATTACTTGACATTCCATCATTCAGTCACACAAAATTTGAATTTCTTTTTTTACCATTGCGCCTCAAGTTTCACTAACTATTCCATTTCACAGCTCGTTCAGATTCGTTCTTTATCAAAAGCTCCTCATTCATTTACCTTTTTGCATTTCATTCGGATCTAGCGGTGTTGTTCATTGTCGCTATTCTTTTGGGATTTGAACTGTTTTGAACTCCATTTCAAAGCCACTGCACACCTTTAATAGAATTCTTAGCTTTTTACTTTTATTTCAGTCGTTTCTGTTGTCACATCTTTCTCCTCCGGCAAGAACTGGATATTAATGATATACCAGCAGCAGAGGCGGACATTTTGACTCATTATTTGTTCATTATTATTCTCCTAACATAGGACTGAATCACAAAAAACGTTCTAGTAGGACTGAAAAAGTCTGTGAAGATAAAATACATCATTGAAGTTCACTTCTTTACAACAGCGCTCTTTCTAACTTGTCGACGAATAGTAACATTTGTAACGAACATTTGTAATCAACATAAAAATCAGCTCAGTATTACTGTGAATGGTATATCATTTCCAAGTTATTTACCAAAGAGTCCCCCTCCAAAAAATCAATGAAATCTGCAAATTAATTCATTTTAGCACGAATTTTATTGAAATAATTTAGGCATTGGATGAGGACGATGACAAATATGTTGGTGCGATTGTCTGCAAGCTGGATATGAGCCGAGAAAATCGTCGCCGTGGATATATTGCAATGCTTGCAGTCGATGAGTCATGTCGGAAAATGGGTATAGGTGTGTGGGAGTAATAAATTCTTTTCTGCCTTCTCTCAATCTTGTTTACTCCCTGCTCTGAAATTTGCCGATATTTCGCATTTTCAGGCACTCGTTTGGTACAGAAAGCTATATCAAATATGCAAGAAATGGGCTGCGATCAAGTGAATATTTGCGCTTTTTTTTTTCTTTCGTTTTTATTAATATTTAATTGCTGTGTTCCAAGTTTCTGTTTTCTAACCAACCGATATTGACCGTTGGTCAAGAAGAAATAACAGGATTTCTTCATTTTCGTGCTAACTTCACTTTTTTTTGATCTACGCATGAACTAAAATTTCTGCCAGTTTTTAGGTTGTATTGGAAACCGAAGTAACCAATTCAGATGCCCTACGCCTGTACAGTAATTTAGGATTCATCCGGGAGAAACGGTTATTTCGTTACTATTTGAATGGTGTGGATGCTTACAGGCTTAAGCTCTTCTTAACTACCATCAACGAATCTCTACTTCTTGATCCACCTATGTTTGTTGGCAATACTCAATGCGTACCATGATTTGTTATATACTCGTGTAGAAGCAGTGGTAGCTAAACCATCTACCAAGATTATCGTTTGTTACAAGATTAGGGAAAATGTTTTTCTGGATGAATGTTTTTCTGTTTCTGTTTAGTAGGAAATATTGCGGTGAATAATTATTTGACAGTTTAGAGTCATGTTGCTGATACCTGGATTAATACAATATAAGGAATTATAGTAATATCGTTTTTCGTTCTCAAATTTGGCAAAAAAATGGGAATATTTATGAAATTATTCTTGTTGTGGATTAAAATCGAAAAGAAAAAGCCGTCCCGTATGTATATGTGTAAATACCAATGTCGTTGCAAGTGGTTATTGAATGGTGTCTTTACTTTTCAGCTATGCTTTCTGAAACTTCCTGAGTTGATTCATTAACCGATCAGTTTATATTTCTAAATATTTATAACGACAGTTGGTCGCATTCTTTCTTTTTTCTCGACAACTGTTATTCCATTCTTGTTGCAAAGATCTACGCGCTTATTAGTTTTACTTGGATGTGCAAATTTTAATTCTTTGTATTACTTTTTTTTACGTTCTTCGTTAAGTAATGTATTTGTTGCATTCATGTGCCAAAGTGCTTTGCAGAATCGCTATGAGGAAAAATAAGTGATTTTAGGCTTTTTAGAATTGGCGGAGCGACAGCGTTATTCACGAGTCCCTACAACTATTAAACTTAGCATTCTCAGTTGCAAAAGTTAATTTTTTGACTCCTTGTGCTTGTTGAGGTTACTATTTACAATTAAAGTACAGTAGCCTTTCCTTCTGGATCATATTATGTTTTACCTTTTGTTGGTCATGTTATTTGACCGAAATCCTTTATCTTGAAGCGCATTATAGCAATTTGTATAATTCTTTGTAATTATCTCGCTCGTGTTTTTAACACTTCCACAAAATGCAAGGAAGTAGGTAAATCAGTAGTTTTTATTTAGTTTTTCACTCGTATAATGGGAAAAAGAAGGAGGAATTGCATGTTTATCCAAGACTTAGTCTATCTTGAAATCTATGAGACAGCATGATAAGTGCAAAGGCCACAATAAAAACATACGAAATGGTTGAAATTACGCTGTTCCTTTGGGAACTTCAGTTAGAAGGGAACAAGTAAGGAATTGAACATTTACTTGTTAATGATTTTTACTCAGAACCATTGAGGTAGTTTGTGTCGACAAAGAAAGCTAGAAATAATTTAGAACTGGATCCCAAGTTTCTTGCAATGCATATGAACATGAACAAATCGTAAAAAAATAAAGGGGGAAGATAACGACTTGAACCAATATTTTAATTAAATCTAATGACTGAAGGAAAAGGATGATCTCGGACAGGGATGGTCTTAAAACAGTAGTTTTGACCCGTCCAGCAGAGGCACACGATGTTTAGTCAAATCTGTGAGATCGCGATGCGACACATTCCTGCTTCTTTTCTCATCGATAACAAATTTACATAACGGCACAACAACTGCTGACCATGAATACAGTGATGAGCCTTTCATTTTCGACGTTTCGGGCTTGGCCCGCGGCCCTTTGACGTAGGTTTGCGTTTCTGCGATGACTTCTGCATACGTTCCTCTTCGCCACGATCACGTGCTCGATCAGCTGAAATAGAAGAATCACAGTTTTAACTCCGATAAACCACAATGGAAGTGAGAGGGTGGTAAAAAAAAATCCTAGAACGACAGGAAAGTGACAGTAAAACAATTAAAGTAAACAAAAATATAAATGGTTGATTCCCATCAAATAAATACAATATTAATATAAGGATGGCGCATACCTCGCTGAGCTTCTGCTTCCAAATCACTCCAATCTTTGCCTTCACTTTCGTCAGAATCGACACTCGCTTCGGATTCTGAAGAAAGATAATTTGTCGACAAGTGATTTTGATGTTTTTTTTTCCCCTCACACAACTTCATATAACTAACCAGATTCCGACGTTGCTTCCGGTGACTCTTCCTCATCTTCATCCTCATCAGAACCTTCTGAAACGAAAGTTTCGTTGGAAATATTTAAGGATAGGAATTTAAGCTAGAAAGAGTTAATAAAATTGCATAAAAAAGTACCAGTTTCATCTTCACTTGGTGTATAGGCATCTTCACTTTCTTCATCCTCTTCTTCATCTTCATTCTAAAAGGAAAAATGCAGTTATTTTTAGATTTTCCTAAAATTGTAAGAGAATTTAACCGAAATAAATGGTCATATACATCGCTATCTGTTGCCAAAAAGTTCCATCCACCATTTACGAAAAAATCCTCCGGATCATCCAAGATGGTCTTCATTATTTTCGCCCAGTTCAGTGACTGAATCCCTTCAGAATAATATATATCGCAGGAACTATAAAATCCGTAGTGAAGAATACCAAATGATGCACTGAGCAAATTACAAAATGCAAAAGCAAAGACGACAGATGGATGGCAATGTAAACCAATATCTACACAAAATGGATATTAAATGAATACCACGAACTAAAATGGAAGATCGAACAGCTTTCTTTAGAGCTCAGAGCTAAATCATCCACACAGTATTTCTACGCAATTCGCTTCATGTGATTTTTTTCTTATTCTCAAGCATAAAAATTTGCTCAGCATCACTAACTTGAGCCATTCCTTGACACTGTCAAGCGATGTCATTGGAATCTGTTGAACCATTTGAGTCTTTTTCGAATAATCTTTGAAAATGAAAACCATATCGAAATTCTTTAGTTGGAACGACACTCGTTCAAAGTGCACGAATTCCACTTCATCCAAAGTTACAACGAATGGAGGCTAAAACGGTTGCACTGATTATTCATCTGCTGATTTAACAATTTTATAAAATTGTAAGATTAAGTGCAAAAATATTATTTAAAAATAGTGTCACATGCTACTTATATGAGGAACTTCACTAATATAATGACATATAACCCTCATCCTGCAGTCATACTGTTAGAATGTAACTGCATGATCTGTTGAAAGCCCTGTTTAACCTCCACTATTTACAGAACATCATATATTGACGTTTTCAGTATCTGTACTCCCAATTTCGAACAAAGTAACGAACCCATTCACTCAAATTGACCAAACATGATGAAGTTGGTTTTAGTGTGCAAGATGATCGATAAGGAACGCCGAAAAACCCTAGTTCATTAAATGGTACATCAAAATCAAATGCCTCGTTTGTCTGACGAACGACCTGCATAGAAAATTAAAATATTGGCTTGAATTTATGAAACATGAATTGTAATAAACAGGAAATGAAAGGAATGGTCTAAAACTTGTTGACACAGAATTGCTCCAGCTCGAGAACATAAACGAAATCATAACGTAGCTTTTATGTAACTATGAAAACCTGAAAACCGTAATTTTCACTTAACGAAATTTCACTTAACTTTACAACAATGGATTTTTCTATATCCTCCACTGATTCCACCTTACCTCCTCTATACAACATTGCAACTACAAGATATTTCCTTTACCTTATCGCAGAAGTTTTGGAAAACTTGATTCAAGCGCTTCCTCATTTCCCGTTCAAGTTGTTCACTTTGAACATCGTCCCGATCTTGCATATGATGATATTTGCCCAAATCTGTGGTGATTTCACCGACTTCCGTATAAAACTGGATATCTTGGTACTTACGTTTACCCCATAATACTGGATTCTGCAATCAGAAATTACCGCACTTATGAATAACAGGTGTCTCCCCTGAAATCTATGGACAGTTTCTGTGTTCATTGCTCTATCACTTGCTATTAGTATGAAATCTTGTATTGTTTATAACCATAATAAAGTTAAATGATGTTTGTCGTCTTAAATCGTACCATTCATTAACGAAAGGCATTAATAACAAATATTATAAACATATTTACTTTAAAATGAAAAGCCCTCGGCATACTTATCCTTAAATTCGAATGATCAAAAATCTAAAACATTCCAATGTAATCTAAAGCATCTTATATGTTTGATCCATGAAGTGCCTTGATTACACGCTGTGTTTATGGTGGTTATATCCAAGATGGAAAAATAATCCGTCCGCAACTCACTTTTAGTGTGAAATGTATCAATATGATCATTTCATTATCGCAAGGCTGGAAAAATGCATGTTTTATATTGTTATATAGTACATCGATTTTGTCCCCCCGTAGTGAGGTGTATCGGAAACCTGAAATCGCAAAAGCACAATTACAAATTTCAAATTGCAATAATTAAAAAAACATGAGATCATAGAATCTTTTTAGATTTTTATCAGGTATTTCGCGATCCAACAACTTGCCATTGGCATGCGCTTCTAACGAACCACTGATTCTTTTTGTGATGATATTAGGTCTAACAAAAAGATCCTTTAATTTTGGATTGCCCTTTGCCGTCGATAAGATCAGTTTATCTTGTTTCACGGCCCCTTCTTTTTCCCGCTCTTCCGCTTCCTGAAATTTTTGTGTCAAAACTCTGCTTTATAATTTTAAGAAGATTTCTGTTTTTCACAAAATTTCATTAGCAAGGGTTTTACCTGCGTTCTGAATTTTTTCTGCATTTCTTTGATCAAACGATATGCCGTACTTAGATTGCTGCTAGGGGCAGTTACTTCTCCATGTTCTTTCAAATTGCTACTTCGATAGGTTCTGCAAAAGTGAGCATACTACAAACCAAGTCATTCAATTTTTTTTTCCTTACTAGAAGTTGGTTAAATAAGCAATCAAAAACCCTCAAAAATCTATAAACTGTTCAAATGTGAAATTTATAAATTTGGAGAAGTGAATAAAGAATATCATAGCTAAAAACTTACAATTCCTTCACATAAGTTGACAATGGATTTGGAAACTGTAGCTGATCCCTCCCAATCTGTGAACCAGGATGCATGAAGTTTACTCGCAAATAAGTATAATCACCCTCCACAGACTGACTGGTATTTTTGATCATAGAAATGTGAAATGGTACAGGAATTCCAAATATTGGTAATATGACAGAATCATGACGCCGATCTAAAAATCACGCAATGAACAGTGATTAAAACACAAAAAAAGTCAGGAACTGACCCGAAAAACAACTCTAGCATTTATGTTGAAACTTTTTCGTGAAGTTATTCTTGGCAAATTTCCTCTAAATTTGAATTTCGAACACCCAAACTTCTCCATTTCATTCTATTTTATGTAGATCACATATCTCTGATGATGGCCCTTTGCGGATCCATCTATTATTACCAGAGAAAAAAAATCCTCGATATCGAACATTACAACAAAGAAATAGAAAGTTAACTTGGAATTTCAGTTTTCTTTGCTGTCATAACTGACACCTCTAAAAAAATCTCAAAATTCACTTTGAAGATGTATAGTAGTTTCAAGATTTCATTTGCCAAGCAGAACTGAATGGAATATGTTTCAGAGCTAAGTCGAATAAACTTCTTAGCTAACTCACCAACATATATTTGAAGTTTATCAACTTCGGCTTCCTTGGGGAATTTTTCATAGGTTTTATAGGAAATATTTGATTTCTTGATTTTCTTGATATCTTTTTGACCCGTTTGATCAGCCAAACGTTCACGAGCTGCCTCGTTCAATCGTTTCCCCAACTCTTTTTGATGCTCCTTACGTTTATCTTCATTTGTTGTTTTATTCTAAATACAAAATTAAGGCATATATTCCATTCACTGTATCACAGTAATTTTCCACTCGCAATACCCATAATTCGAGGAGTAAATCACTCCTACCACTGCATATGTGATTCAACAAACACATCTTACCTAGAAGAAACGTCCCTATTCTTAAGTCACTATCCTAAAACACTTACCCGCGTTTGTTCCTGCAACAGCACTGACCGTTTTCCACGGCCAAGCCCCTCGCCCAAGTTGTTTTCCTATAATCCAAAAAATGAAGACTTTATGAAAGGTTGATTTTTCATTTTTGAAAAG